GGTTACATCATATGATATCCAAAAAGCAGTGAATACACATCAATTGATCCAAAGTGATTGGATCTTTGTCATTCCTGAGAATTTAGACTTGAATGTGGATGATGATCTTGTAGCATACTTCTTCACTGGTTGTTTCTTCCTATCTGACTTGATTGGAGCTGTTTTTTTCTTGGGATATTGGGTAGCACAACTTGATTGGGTAGTCGCGGCATTGCTGACCCGCGACAATGATCGCTACGGGAAGTTGATCATCGAGGAAGGCGGAGTCGGGCCACTCTTAGGCAAGCCGGAAGGCCAATAAAACGCGGCGAGAGCCATCGGGCTACTCGGTTGCGACGAGGAAAGCGTCGAAAACATCATCGTGGCCGGCGTCTGCCAGGTGTTTGCGAAAATTCTCAAAGAAGGTCCGATGAAAGTATAGGCGGTAGTGGCCTGGGTCATGTCGGAGCTTGCTTCCCATTACCCAAAATCCCAAGACCTTTTCGCCCAGAACAACGTAATCCGGTTACTGGTTAGCCATTTGGCCTGGCCTGTTTTGTTATTTTTTGCCATGTATACAAGCCACTTAAGCGTAACCGATACACATAATCGCAAATGGGTTAGCAAAATGCGAAAAAAGTCAATCGAACAAATTTAGTTGGTAAGTGTAGCTGATTAGACTTTAATTTAGTTCGTGATGGGAATTGAGCACTTCGCAGTAATAGATGAGCCTATTTGACACTTTTGATATCTACACTTGTTATTATGTTTTAGAGAAAATTACACTTTTGGTCCTATGACTATAGGGGGCGTGTTAATTTCAGTACTTGACTTTAAAAACTAACAATTTAGTCCTGTAACTATGCAATTTCTAACATATTTGGTCCTCTCGGCCAAATTACCGGCCAAATGTCGCTGGAATCTTTTAATCCATTCTTATTTGTTTAATTTCGGGGGCAACTTAGTCATTTTAGGTGGAAAAAAGGGGAAAGTTGAGCCTTCTTCCTCCGCCGACTGTCTTCCTGCTCTGTTTTCTCTTCCGGTACATTATACATATAGAATTACAAGTTGACACTTTCAAATGCAATTCACCAACTGAGATTGGGATTTGGATTTTCTATTCCCAATAGGATTACGCAGCTGAGTACGTAGTATACATAGACCAAAAGCTAAGATCTATCTAATTTAATTCTAGCTCGATCCATCTCTTCCACCATAAACCATGAAACCGCAAAGCTCTGCAACTCCGACGACTACGCAGCTGAGTACGTTTTTGTTGAAAGTTGGCAGATGACAAGGCCACCGTCGCGATTCAAACCGCCGCGAAAGGCCGAATGTTTACCCGTCATATTTACAGTTCTCATTGTCCACCCTTCCCCTAGCGTTCCCAACCTCGTATGGTACAAGACCAAGTACGAGTTCTGGGTAAATTGCAAATCGAGGCCGCCATTACAGCCATGATGACCAGAAACGCCGATGCTACCGCTGTGGCTATGATCGCAACCTTGTTCTTGGATTTGGGCGCGTCTTTCTTGATTGGAAATGGGTTTCAGATTCCTAGAAATATTGCAGAGGAGAGGAAATGGCTCCGAGAGCGCTTCTGATTTACCAAATTATTTCCTAATTTTCTGGTTGCTAAACAAAGAAGGATACTGATTAATTAATTAATTAATCTTGTATAATCCACATTATTGTATAATCCAAATTATTTCCGTCGCTGCAAAGGAATTAATGGCTCCACCGCCGTTGCTGGATACTTGGAGGTGGCGGTTTCCGACCGTCACTGCAAAGGAAGAAGAAGAATGAAGAAGAAGGTAGGAGAAGGAAGAAGAAGAGCCTGAAATGACCGTTTTGCCCCCACTTATATTTAATTAAAAATGGGTTACGTTTTTCCGGTCAAATTTTGTCGGTGATTTGGCCGAGAGGACCAAATGTGTTAGAAATTATTGCATAATTACAGGACTAAATTGTTAATTTTTAAAGTCAAGTACTAAAATTAACATGTCCCCTATAGTCATAGGACCAAAAGTGTAATTTTCTCTTATGTTTTATTTTTATTTCCTTCTATTCATTTTAAATATCATGTATTGAGAGTATCTTTGTAAAGTGATATTTAGCACTTTTCTTAAATGAATATACAAAACACAATCAGTGGATTCATTAATGCTCCGGGCTATTACCGATCAAGATCAATTACTTGAAGGCAAAAACATGTGTGAGTCCATCTTATTGATCTTTGTCCGTGATACGGGCCGGGTCGGATTAATATGAAATGTAATACAACAAATGTAATACTAAATTATGAATAAAATGTTTATTAATTATATGAAAAAATGTAATAAATGGTATATTATTAACTTCTTAAAGAGTTGACTTAGCTTGTGATTGGGGCTTCTATTCACATCAAGGCACATGAACAGCAGGGAAAATTAAAGTCCAACAATGAAGGGCTCCCAACAACCATACTTTTGGCATCATTTACTTGGATTCATTTTTATATCTGTGTCATTATTGTGTGCTCATTTCTTTATATAGGACCAATGCACTAGGCATTTAAATAAGACTAAGCATCTTTATCACACTGGTTATCTATTCATTTATTTATTAACAAGGGGCTAGTGTCCAATGGGAAATACTAATGGCCATTAGTACTAGCCTACTTTTATTCCCGATTTCATTTATCAATAGGGTTTTATGACGGGCTCGGTATATATATATATATATATATATATATATATATATATATATATATATATATATATATATATATATATACACACACTTCTGCCTCAAATGCGGTTGCGCTTTCCTGTGCGAGTAGTGCTGTCGCTTGAAAATAAAAGGCACCAATAGTGTTAACAAAAGACACCAATAGTGTTAGGAAAATTCACAATAATGAAATGCACAAATATATCAAAAATGCAGAACACACTCGAAATAATGCACCATAACTCCCCACCCCTAATTGTGCATTTCCGAACTTTGTGTGGTACTTTTTTGCATACCTAATGATGCGTTTTTGGTGATGCGTATTTAGTGGTGCATGTTTTTTGTTGTGCATTTCCTAACATTGTTTGTGCATATTTGTATAACTATTGGTGCGGTTGCACTGACCACATGGGAAGGCGCGACCGCAAATGTAATACTAAAATGTACAAATATTTCAGGGGAACAAAGAGATTGAAGACACCGACCGCACCCTCCTGGTGGATTGCATCAATATGGTGAAGAATTTTGAAGAAATCACCTTCAATCATATTGAAGAGAGGGAAATCTATGCGCTGATTTTTTGGCCAACTTAGCCCAAAGCAAGGATTGGGGCACTAGATGTTTCAATGACATTCCAGAGGGTCTCGATACGCTCTTCACGCGCGACTTGGGAGGCGCCTTCACTCGTAGAATTGTCTAACTCGAGGCCTAGCCTCGTTTTCTCTACCAAAAAAAAAAAACAGAACAGTCAGTGGATTCATTAATGCTCCGGGCTATTACCGATCAAGAACAATTACTTAATTGGCATATTGAGTTTTTGAAGAGTTGACTTAGCTTGTGATTGGGGGTTCAATTCAGGCAAATTATGCCCTGGACCCGTGTCCACAGTGAATTGTGGACACGGGCCCAAAACGACGACGTTTTTCAAAAAAAACGCGTCATTTAGTTAAATAAAAAAAAATCGCGCACGTTTTGCCGTTAACGGCGTTATTTTTTTTTTTTGGATTATGAATGTACAGTTATGCCGTTATGAATGTATAGTTATGCAATTATGAAATTATGAACACAGAGCTCTAACATTATGAACTTACAATTATGAACATATATAGTGATAAAATTATGACCATGGAGCTTTAAAATTGTGAATATAGACCTTCGAAGATTATGAATGTACATTTATGGAGTTATGAATCTACAGTTATGGAGTTATGAATCTACAGTTATGAGATTATGAATCTACAATTATGGAATTATGAATGTACAGTTATTGATCGAATTATGAACAAAGAGCTCTAACATTATGAACTTACAATTATGAACATATAGTGATAAAATTATGAACATAGAGTTCTAAAATTGTGAACATAGAGCGTCGAAAATTATGAATGTACAATTATAGAGTTATGAATGTACAGTTATGGAGTTATGAACGTACAGTTATGGAGTTATGAACGTACAGTTATTAATAATATAGTAATAAAATTATGAATATATACTCCTATAACAAAGCGGTATGAAATTTTTAAAAAAAAAAAAAAAAAAAAGGAGATAACAGTGCCTAACGGCATTGTTACCCGTGTCCAGCAAGCATGCTGGACACGGATCCAACGCATAACGATTGTTCAAATTCACATCAAGGCCCGCACATGAAGGGCAGAGAAAAGTCTAACAATGAAGGCTCCCAACAACCATATTTTTGGCATCATTTGCTTGGATCAGATCCAGTTTTATAATATATCTTTGCCATTATTGTTGTGCTCATTTGTTTATAGAGGACCAATTAATGCGCGCACTTGATAATTGTCATTTAAATAAGACTAAAACTGACTAGTTAACTAATCTTGTTTTTTTTATTAACGTTAGTTACATTGTTTTTATTTTTGCATCTTTATCAGTTCGATCACCCCTCAAACATATATCATTTGCATTTCCTATTTCTTCACAGTAGAGAGAGAGAGAGAGCAATGACGTTAGTGTTTGACAAAGTGGTGGAGGATCTGGCATCCAAGGTTGTAAACAAATTTGTCCAAACTGTAGCTGCCAATATCGACCTGGTTAGTGGCATAGGTTCTGCAATTGCAGATCTCACCTCCGACATCGAAACGTTTAACGCCAGGCTGGTCGATGTTTCCAAGAACCAAGATGCCAGCGGACTTCAAGTTCTGAGAGTAGCGGTGAAAAAATTCCGAACTGTTGTGGATGAAGCCCAGGATGCGGTTGCCAAGTACATTGCTCTCATCATGGCGTTGCTAAATGTTTGGATAAACTTCCAGTTCCAGTTTGCGGGAATATCAATGTCTGTGCAAAAGAGATTCAGTCCATTAGCATAAAGATGAATAAGCTTCTCCAAACCCATGAAAAAGACCTTATATCCTACATGAACTACAAGAGCACGGGACAAGATAGTGATATGCAACCTCTCCAGGTACCACAAAACCTATTTCTAAATTATTATTTTTCAAATTATTTGTTTCAGCAATTATTACACTACATGATCATATCATATTTCGTTACATCAATAACGGGGTTGATGCGTATGCTGTTTAGACATAATTTTCAAGAACAAATAATTTGGACTTACTGGGAGTGAAAATAACTTAAGAACTAGATAGCACTTAGTTCAATCTGGAGGGTGTGTGGTTGAGTGGAAGGGACTCACCCTATAAGGAAATGAACTGCTGTATTATGGATGTAAAACTATCAGGTATAAATAGTATACACAGAGAGTAAGTAGCCAAGAAGTTGTAACAACTACTCTAAGATATCTATTTTAATGGAATATAATTAGAACAAATACAAATAGAAAACATCAGCCACGTATATCCTTAACACGCCCCTGCAAGATTAAGGATCCGTAGGAGACTCCAATCTTGGATCGAAACTAAAGAAACAAGTGACGACCAAGTGGCTTGGTAAGAAGATCAGCCATAAGCCTATCTAAAATTGAAAATATGTTGTCAAACACAAGCCTATCTAAAATTGAAAATATGTTGTCAAACACAAGCCTATCTAAAATTACAATGATTTGAGAAAGGTCTCGCTAAAATACTTATGCAATTATCTTTACATCAGAATCTATTACAAATAATTCCCAAGAGGGGTTGAAACTTGAAAATGATGACAGTTTTCATCTTTACCTTTTTCAAGTTCAATTTAATGAATGAAAGACGTGCATTAAACGATCTCCGTACCAGTACAAAAATTTCAAACTCCCACTCAAAATAATATATGTGTCATTTCCGATCCCTATCAAATCTTGGCAAGAATATATGTCTTTCCGCTTATCAAGAGTCATAAATACCCAATCATAGATGGTCAATGAAATAAATGCATGACCTTTATGACTTCTGTTGGGAATATCTTCTTATTATAGGTCCTTCTAGTATTCAACATACCCTTCCTATAGCTGCTAAAACATCTTCTTTTGACAGATCCTTCCAGGATTCAATCCATCCTTTCGATAGGTTCTTCTAGATTTCAACCTATCCTTCCGAATAAAAACTTTACTCCAAACTTAGCACCCAAGCTCAAGTTTGAGTTGATTATACCTTGACTCATAGAAGGGCTTAGTGAGTATATGAGCAAGTTGTTTGTCAGTACAAACATAATCCAATTTGATATTTTTCTTCTCCACATATGATCTCTATTAAAGTATGTCGAATATCAATACGCTTGGTCATCGAGTTAAGAACTAGATTCTCCGTGATTGCAATGGCACTTGTGTTACCACATAAAATGCTAATTTCCTTGGCCTCTACTCCATAGTCCATAAGTTGTTGTTTCATCTACAACACTTACACACAATAGCTTATGACAACAATGTACTCAACTTCTGCCGTTGATGTTGCTATGGAATTATGTTTCTGGCTAAACCATGACACCAATCTCCCCCCTAGAATTTGGCATGTTCCAAATGTACTCTTTCGATCTATCTTGCAACCTACAAAGCTGCATCAGAATAACCAATTAGATCAAAACCTCATTCCTTAGTGTTCCATAGCCCAAGGTTTTGAGTGCCTTTGAGGTATATTAAGATCTTCTTGGTTGCCTGAAGATGACTCTCTTTTGAATTAACTTGGAATCTTGGACACACTCTTACTGCAAAGGTGATGTCTATCTAGTCTGCTGGCCGTTAAATATAAGAGAGATCCAATAATTCCTCGATAAGTATATATATATATATATATATATATATATATATATATATATATATATATATATATATGTATTCATAGGAATCTTAACTGATGGTTTTTCTTCCATACCAAACTTCTTTATGATATCTCTTGTATATTTTGCTAAGTTGATGAATATTTCTTCCTTCAACTGCTTGGCTTGTAAACCAAGAAAAAAATTGAGTTCACCCATCATGCTCATCTCAAATTTGCTTTGCATGAGGGTTGAGAACCTTTCCACATAGGCCTGGATTAGATGATCCAGAAATGATATCATCTATATAGATTTGAACCAATAAAATGTGACCTTCATTCATATTGTTCCTAAAAGCCCATTTAGTGTGTATGACATTTTGATGCTTTGGCCTTCAAACCAATTCCCAAACTTGGTTTCTCTCAAATTGTTTCAGCTCCTCCTGCATATCCAATCAACATCTACTAGAGCTTAGTCAATAGACTTAGGCTCAATATGGGAAATCAAGCATGAGAACATAGCTTTATTTTGTCTAGATCTTCTACGAATTCCTTCATGCACGTTACCGATCACTTGCTCAGGGGATGATCTCTGAGCTATCTCATATCCGGTGCAATTTCTAGGGGAATACTCAAATGCCTAGAAATCTCCACCATTTGATTGACTTCTACTGGTGATGCTTGCACTTATTCATATTGATCAATAATGACGGGTAGGATAATTGGAATCTACTTTATCATGACCCATATTGAAAGTGGAACCTACTCAAGATTATACCTAAAAATGGCCACTAATTTTTCCAACAACTTATAAGATAATAGTTGTGTCCAAGAGTTATTTGTTGGGCCCGACATGGAGAGTCGAGTCCAATATCCTACCATCGAAATGTGGGACTAACTACTAAATAAGTATAATAAAATAAAGTTGTGCCTTCACTACTAGCTTTAGTTTTTGGCATTGTGGCAAGTGTTTAATCCTGACAATTGGTATCAGAGCATGTCACAAGTTTGAATCCCATTGAGAGCATACTATGCAATTGATGTTAGTAGGTGTAGGGAGAGGGATTATTGGGTAGCAGCTTAGAGAGTCAAGTCTAACATCCTACTATCAAAACGTAAGTTTAAGAAATAAAGTTTCACCTTCGCTACTAGCTATAACTTTTGGTGTAGTGGTAAATGCTTGATCCTAACACTATTTTCTATATTTTGTGCCATTTACTTGTTGTAATAGCTCTACTTAAGCTTAATGGTACAAGTATGGGTTTTTTCTCAAAAGTTTAATTTTCCATATTCACCTTCTTTCCATTTGTCAAGATATTTCTTATTTTCTTTGTAGGTCCATAGGGAATTTTGTTTACAAAAATATTCATAAAATCTAGTCACGGTGATTCATGAAACCTATCCAATGCATGTAACACTCACACTTCCCTTAAAATCGATTAACTCCTTCCAAAAAGTGTTAGGTGCATTAAACTGTCAATTTTCTAAGATACAACGAATATATTTGAGCACTCAAATATAAACATTCTCGGTGAACTAGAATAAAGAGGAACACTTTGAAATTTTAATTGAAGTGTTGGAAGAATTTTTTGAGTAAAGAGTATGTAGGAGGGAAAATCATAATTTTTTTAGGTACAAAAAGATTTTACTAGTTAAATTGATTAGAATTAACCCAACATTAAGAATATGTTATACCAATGAAAGGGGCACAAACAACAACGGCTTGAGAGTAGTAAGCAGTACTCAAAATAGTAAGGGCCTAGGTCGCGGGTGCTCATGAGTTCAAGCTTTAATTTTAAACTTATTTTCTATTCTAAAGGTTCATTCTACTATTTATCTGAAGCTTCTCTTTTGATTTTAACTTTTAACCTTTTATCCCTATCAAAAAAAGAAAAAAAAAAAAAAACTTATAATCTTTTACGATATTTTAACTCGTTTGCCAACATAAGTATTCTTAGCCCCTTCTTTGGCAACCCTTCTATATGAATTAAGTCAGTAGCTTCAAAACTTGTCTTGCTCAATCAAATCTTATGATCAAATTTCTCGATCTTCTGATTTGAAATATGTTTGGATTATCGAACTCTTCTAATTAATTAGAAAACTGTTTTGAACTTTTGACATGGTCTCCTTTGAAAATAGTCTTTTGGGGGTTGAATGTGATGAATTGGACGTTTGTTTGTAGACTTAGGATACTTAGCATTGAATTTTTCACATAAATTTTTTTTCTTTGCATATTTTCTAAACAAGAAAATTACATTTTGATTAGAGAATCTAGTTTTTGATTAATACATTAACTTAGCATAATCAAAATCTGATCTACCAACTAAAATTATTTGTAATTTCATTATAAATTAAATTAAAGAAAATAGTTTATCATTTTACAAAATTCTATATATTTCTATAAGAATTTGATGAACATGCCTTGCAATCTTATTAAATCCTAATAATAAGATTTTTAAAAGAAGCTAAGTTAGGTTACATATAGTGATAGCTTAGTGGTAAGTGTTTGATCCTGTAATTGGTATGTATTAGAGTCAAGGCCGGTCACGGGTTCGAATATTTAAGGGTGTGCCTGCGGGGAGATTTGTTGCCATCACATTTAAGCTTGGCAGCATTAATTGTTTACAGTATGTATCTTCAATTCAGAAAGTAATAAGCTTTAATTTGTACGTACTAATCATTTATAAGTGAATTTGAAGATAGATATGTTTTACCCCGGCCCCCTATCTAATACTTGATTAGTATCATTGTTTAATTATTATTTTTGTGTTTTTATTGATTTAACTGTTAATGCTTAGCCAATTGTGGAGGAAGATAATCCAACGGGCTTTGAAGATCAAATGGAAGCTCTACTAGCTCGTCTCGATGGATCATCCAATAATCGTATTGTTATTCCAATTGTGGGGATGTCTGGGAGCGGAAAAACTACATTCGCTAAACAAATCTTTCACGGTAGAAACAAACTGAAGACTACATTTGTCCATACCATTTGGGTTCATGTTTCACAAAACTTTGCCAGAAAACAGAAATACATTGACATGTTATATGAAATTACAAAGCATCCGAGAGATGAATATTCCAACATACCTGAGAATCAGTTGGAAGACAAAATAAAGGAGCTTTTAAAGGATAAATATTTCATTGTGTTGGATGATATATGGGAAAAAAATGATTGGAACTCTTTAAATAAGGCATTGCCTGAAAACTCTAAAGGAAGCAGAGTTTTGGTGACCACCCGATTTCGCGAATTGGTTGATACTGATGAGGAACCTCATGATTTAAGATCATTAAACAATGAGGAAAGTTGGGAGCTCCTGGAAAAGATTATTTTTGGAAAAGATGGATGTCCGAATGAATCAACATTGAAAACTGTGGGAGAAGACATAGTAAAAAGATGCAAAGGACTGCCACTTTCTATTGTAATGGTGGGTGGCATCCTACGTAGAAGTAGATCTCTTGCTTACTGGAAACGTGTGGCTGAAAATCCTATTCAAGAAATTAATAAAAGAGATAAAAGCTACCACAAAGTAGTGAGGTTGAGTTACGACCATTTGCCTCATGAGAAGTTGAGAAATTGCTTCTTATATTTTGCATCGTTTCCCATGGGACAAGAGATTGCTGCTTTGAAGTTGATTCGTCTGTGGATTGCTGAAGAATTTATTCCCTCAATTGATGAATGGGGATATAGTTTGGACTTGGAAGATGAAGCTGAGAATTATTTGAAAGATCTTGTTGATAGGAATCTAGTGATAGTAATGAAAAGAAGTGCAGATGGTCAAATCAAAACATGCCGCATTCATGACTCATTGCACGAGTTTTGCAAAACTGAGGCTTCAAAGAATAATCTCTTCCACATAATAGATGGGGAACAAAAGTTAGATGCAAATACTGTTTCATCCCATCGTCGTCGTCTTTGTTTCCACTCATCATCATCATCTGCCAAGATATTTGATGTGGAAGATGGTCCATCTTGTTTGTTCCTCAATTGCTACAACAAAATGAAGAAGAAGAGTCCATATCCATCTGGTGAACATGTCCACTCTTTGTTGTTGTCTTCTTCACAAGAGAGTGATATTGATTTGAAACAAGAGGAGCTGATAGCTATCCCGAATGCCTTTCCACTTCTTAGGGTGTTAGACATTGAATCCTTCAAGCTTAGCTTCCAGCTACCTAATGAGCTTTTTAGCTTGAATCTTCTCAAGTATCTTGCTATCACAACTAATGTCAATCTCCTCCCCAAGGCATTCAAAAATCACATTCTCCTCCCCAAGGCATTCAAAAATCTTCGTGAGCTGCAGACTCTAGTGATCAAGACCACAGAAGGAACATTACTAGAAATCAATGGAGGCATATGGAATATGGAAAAGTTGAGACATCTGCAAACCAATGCCTCCATGCAATTACCTTCTCCTCAAAATAGATGGAAAAATAAGAATGGAAAAACAAATATTCGCACGTTGTCTTGGATATCACCAAGAAGTTGCCAGAAAGAGATCTTCAGCAAGACTCCTCATCTTAAAAAATTGGGTGTTCGTGGGGATTTAGTTGAGCTTTTGAAAAGAGATGAGCAAGAAATCTGTTTGTTCAACAATAATCTTCAAATGCTAAATTGTCTTGAAAACTTGAAGCTCTATGGCCAGGATGAGAATGAATTAAAGGTTCCGATGTTGGACAAGTTTAGGCTGAGAAAGTTGACTTTTTGCCAAACCTTCTTTAAATGGGATGACATGAAAATATTGGGATCACTGGAAGAGCTGGAGGTGCTCAAGTTGGATAAAAATGCTTTCAGAGGGGAGCAATGGGATCTAAAAAGTAATGTTGTTTTCAATCAACTCCAATATTTGCGCATTGGAAGGACGAACTTGAAAACTTGGACAATTGTGGAGACTAGCTTTCCAGTTTTAGAAAATCTAGTCCTCAGGAACTGCACCAATCTAGAAGTAATCCCAATTGAGTTTGCTGAAGTACACAACCTTAAGGTGATAGAACTATATCACATGAGTGAAAATGCAACCAATTCCGCATATCGGGTAGATAAGCAAAGACGTAACAACGAAAACATCAAGGGATTATTGGACCTCAAAATCACCCATCTTCCGCCACAAACAACGGTAATTCGATCTCTACCTTCTTCTCTTGATTATATATATTATTAATTTATTATTATTGCATATATGCATGTTCCATTTTTTTTTTTTCTTTTGCATTGGTAGTGAACATAAAAATTAAAATTATTTTTGAACATTTATGCTATAAAAAGTAAACACCACAAATACAATTTATAATTTTCAACTAAACAGAAAAAAGATAATTCAGAGGAATAAATGTTACAAATAATGTTGTTTTATTTATATTACATACTCTTATTACACAAGTAAAAAAGTAATCAACATAACACAACAGTATCAGCTAATGGATGTTTAATTTGAATATAAATAATTTTTATTAGATTAATTTCTCTCAAAGTTTATATACCAATGCAAAAAAGTTACGTTGTCACTAAGTTTCTATATATTTTGGTTTTATATAAGGTAACATTAACAATGAGTTTTATTAATATTTATTTATGCTTTGATTGAACTACCAATAGGCGCATGAGGAGCAAACAGATGGCAAGGAAAATGTGAATACCAGTTCTATTCCGCCGCCATCACCAACGGTACCAATTTTACCCTTTTTATTATTTCATTTTTATGTCTGTGTTGTTTTTTTTTTTTTAAATAAATAAATAATGCATTTCAAATTAAAAAATTAAAGGGTCTTCTCTACTAGAAGTCATGTTTCTCCTCAAATACGTTGAGCCCTAATCAAGGAAGACTACAAAGAATAATAGGTGTAGAAAGTAGAATACTTGAATCATATCGATTAGTAGGGTTTGAAGTGGCTAGAGTGCAGACCAAAATTGAATTGAAAGTATATATATTGGCGCACTAGTACTCGGGTAAGAACCACTCTTCATGAGAGAATTAAGAATCAATAAAAGTTATTCATTTGGAAAAATCTAACAAATTAGAAGTAATTAGAGAAAAAAAAACGTGGTGTGATTTCTGTAAATAACTTAAATTTTAAAGTGCAACTAGTAACAATATAAAGTACAACTTTTAACACTATAGAGTGCAATTAGGCAAAGTTACAGAATGCATCTCTTGAAAAATGCGATGGTATGTTTGTAAAATAACACAAACTTTAAAGTGCAACTAGTAATATTATAGAGTGCAATTAAGCAAAGCTAAATATTGCATTTGAGTGCACTTATACATATGAGGATTGCACTCTATGGTGTTGTTAGTTGCACTCTATAATATTCTTAATTGCACTTTGAAGTTTGAGTTATTTACGAAGATGTCACTTCATTTTTTTCTTCTTTCCTTGATTTAAAGCTGTTAGATCGTCCAAGATCCACCACTCTGAGTCGTTCCTAATTCTCTCTTGCAATAGTATTATTTTTATGATATGTGTGTGTGTGTGGCACGCTCAAATGAGATCTCATCCTAGTCATTGATTTGGGAAGATCAATGACTTTGAAGCAAGGAAAAAAAAGAGGAACACGTGTTGGCATTTTGAAAAATATCTTAAACTTTAAAGTGCAATGCGTACAACTGCAGAGTACATTAAGTAAAACTAAAGAGTGCATCCGATGATATGTAGATGTGTGTTCAACATTTACTACTCTAAATGTGCATCCAGTAATATGTATGTGATTATTGTACAATGAGGACTATATATGCGCTTTATTAATATTTATTTATGTTTTGATTGAACTTGCAATAGACACGTAAGGAGCAAACAAATGGCGAGGAAAATATTAATACCAGTGGATTCGAGCTTCCCAGTTCCTCTATTCCGCCGCCGCCGCCAACTGTAACTATATATTTTACCCTTTTTATTATTTTATTTTCATGTCCGTATCATTTTTTTTTAAATAAAAAATACATTTCAAAATGATATTCACCTCGATCATTAGAATAATACAAAGTAATAAATAAATATTAAAATAAATTTATTTTATATATATATCAGTCTTGTTACAGAAGTAAAAAATCTAAAGTCAAAAGATCAAAATGTAATTTCATCTATCATCATTTATGAAATTTCATACCATTTGCATTATTTTTCTTCTTCTATCGCTTTTGTCTCACATCGTCCTTAGCTTGTCAAGAACCTCTGATACATATATGGGCATTATTATGTTGAAGTAATTTAATTTGAATATTTCAAAAGTAATAAACTTAAAGGTATCGATCAGCAAGATATAGATCAGAGGTGGTAATTAATGCATTTAGAAGCTAAGTAGAGTTTTAGGATATAATTAATTATGATATATTATATTATTGTTTCATTATCATGATCTTAATTACTTTAATTTATTTAATTTACATACAGTTGACAAATATGACGACTCCGGTGGTGGGAGAAGATAATTATGTGGTGGGTTTTGGTGATGAGGTGAAAATGTTAAAGGATCGTCTTTTTAGAGAATCAATGAATTTGACAGTTATATCAATTGTGGGCATGATAGGAGTGGGTAAAACTACATTTGCCAAAATGTTGTTTAATGATAGGGAGATTGTATATGAGTTCTTCAGTCGTGGTTGGGTTAATTTTCCCGAAACTTATACCACAAGGCAAATATTCTTTGACATTTTGAGGAGCTTGACAATGACGAGTAGTAATGATTTTCATGAAATGTCGGATATAAACTTAGCTGAGAGAATATACAGGTATTTGAAAGGTAGAAAGTATTTGATTGTATTGGATGATGTGTGGATAGAGGATTGCTGGGATGACGTGAAGATTGTTTTTCCTAACGAAGGGAATGGCAGTAGAATCTTGGTAACTACTCGACACCTACATGTGGCTTCATATATTGATTCTAGTGGTACCCCTCATAAATTAAAAGGTTTAAGTGATGAAGAATGTTGGGAGTTATTAGAGAAGAAGATTTTTGGAGGCTCAAGATGCCCTGATTCTTCTCTTGAAGCTGTTGGTAAGTCGATAGCAAAGAAATGTAATGGAGTGCCACTTGTGGTGGGAAAAATAAGCCAGGTCCTGAGTGAAAATAGGACACTTGAAGACTGGAAACGCATAGAAAGTAGTGATTTATTTGCAAGCATGATGAATCCGTGAAGCTAAGCTACCCTGATGTGTGACCACTGCACGTTAAGTTGTCTCTCATCTATTTCATTTTAATTTGTTGCATTGTGAGAGTATTTCGATTTTTATCTTTTTTCCGATCGAGTCCGAGTTGTTTCCAACTTTCTGGCCGGCAGGCAGGCATGCATGCATGTAACATTCATTTAGTTGGGGTTCAACCTTTAGAAGAATGTAATTTTGATTTGGGATTTTGGGTTTTAATTTGTTGTTTGTGGCTTAAATTATTAGTTATCGAATTTTGTGAAGATATAATCAGTGACTCATTTTGGTGATTATATTGTGAAATAAATAATATAAATTGTGCTCTTTCTATTCATTATTTTATTTCATTCTTCTTACTTTACTCTTTAGTATAAACTCCATCGGGAAACATGCACTATCATCTAGACATATTCATAATTGTGTGGATTTGACATCATTTGAACAAAAATGTGTAAAGTACTAATTTAATGCCATTACCTTCTTTTCCAAACTCTACTTGAATTTGAAGTTGAAGGAGGAGGAGCATATGGCCGCAGCCTATACATACATTCATCATCATCTGCGCTTGCTTTGCAGTGTATATAAAAAATAACCAAGTTGTCGTCGTCTAGTGAGCATGTCCGATCTTTCTTATCATTCTCTTACAGAGAATCAATAGAAGAGATTCCGGAAGAAGTAGTGGCTGCCATCCCTAATGCCTTTCCAAATCTCCAGGTCTTGAATATCAGAGGCTTCAAATTCCCCACCAATTCGCTGCCTAAAGACTTGTATCGCCTACAGCATCTCACTTACCTTGGGATCACAATAATTGATCTCAAACTCCTCCCCAAGGAATTCGGAAGCCTAACCAACTTGCAAGCACTTGTACTCCACACTAACACTCCAGGTGTTAAAATTGAGGCAGACATATGGAGCTGCATGCCAAACTTAAGGCATCTGCTCACTAATACTAGTCTTCAGCTGCCCTCTCCAATAATTACAAGATCAACATTTTTTGGAAGAAAACAGAACTCTTCTGGAGTAGTTAGTGCTGCAAAAACTAGTAAGATAACCACTCTTTCAACCATATCGCCTTCAAGTTGCACAGAGGACATGTTCGACAAGACCCCAGACCTTCAAAAGCTGGGAATTAGGGGGAACCTAGCAGAGCTTATGGATGTCAATCAAGAAGGAGTTAGTCTGTTTGACAATCTTCATAAGCTGGACCGCCTGGAAAATCTGAAGCTCATAAACGATGCTCTCCAGAGCAACAAACTGCGAAGCTTCCCTCGTGCTGACAGGTTCCCACGCAGGCTAAGGAAGATGACTTTGTCCAACACTGCATTCGAGTGGAAGGACTTGAGTGCTTTGGGGTCGTTGGATGAGCTCGAGGTGTTAAAGCTGGAGGACAATGCGTTTAGGGGAGAGTTCTGTGATGTAAGGAGCGTTGTGTTCAAACAACTGCAGTATTTTCGCATCGAAAGTACTGATTTAGTATCATGGACAGCTTCGAAAGATAGTTTTCCGGTACTAAAATGTCTGATCCTCAGAAACTGCACTAAGCTTGATGCTGTTCCGGTTGAGTTTGGGGAAATAGAAAGCCTTAAATTGTTGGAATTGTATTGCACCAACAAGGGGGCAGTGAATTCTGCTCAACAAATACTGAAGCTGAAAGGAGGTGAAAATGGAGATACAAAACAGGGTGGATTTCAGCTCTCTGTCTACCCTCCTGAGCCTGAGGTTAGTTCAAATTCTTTAAATTTCTTTTGTTTTGGTATTTGCATCTGTTTGTTTACTTTTCCAATTTATTGATTGCCCTTTTTTTTGGATACATTAGGTTTCCTTGAGGAGGTAAATAGCGAGTCGTCTATCAATCCCTAAGTGCATAGGGGGTCTTCATCCTCTAATTGGTCAAGGTCTTCCAATGTCCCTACAACAAGGTTTTAGGGTGATCGGGCGAACCAACTGAGCTAGGCCGCAGAGCTTGATTGCACATTTTATGGATGACTTTGTGATTGTGATTTCTACAGAATGCTGAAATTAAATAAGTGGGCAACGTTCCATTCAACGGACTTGCGTTCCAATTTGTGTGCAGACTGCATATTCGTGTCACTGTTTGCGATTTGAGTTGGATTTTGATTTGTTTTGTTTGTTTTATCATGGCTGCTTGTTTTGGTTGTCCTGGCTTCTCATTGAATATTACTCCGTAAACACTCATTTTGGTGCTTTAAAATAAAATATTCTGTTAAATATTTATTATACCTAACATACTTATTGATTTTTATAAAGAATGTTTTAGGTTCGAACTCTATCCCATTCAAAATTAATATAATTGTTAAACATATACTATAAATATGTTAGAGTCTATTAAAAAATTACAATATAAAATTTAACATGAATTTTGGTCAATTAATTAGAATTACGCATTGTATGAAACGGTACACCTACTTTACAGTATATATTCAACACAGATGATAAACTATGTCTATTATCATTATTTTTTTGGGGAAGGAGGATTTTGTTCTGTTTTTTATGGTGCACTGCGCCAAAGTACTAAAATTGCAAAAATTAATAGGGTTTTGTGTTGCAACAAGAGGAACCATGGATCACGTCAATTTATATTAATAAAGTTTTGTGTTGCAAAAACTATACTTAGGGTACTATCGAGTGAGGGTACTTCCCTCTAAAATTGCTATTATTGCACCAGTTAATCCAACATTTCTATCATAGGTGTTATGCATTCTTGAAATATTTACTTTTATGAAAAGTTTGATAATTTTGCATTAGTACATTCCGGGATACCAAATGATATTTTGATAAATTATTAAACACCAATTTAAAAATAATATTGAGCATCAAACTATTCGCGCAATGCACGTGTGAAAACTATTATGGGTTAATACAAGCTAAATCCTCCGAGTATAGTGATATTGCCACATTTAGTAAGAAATTAAACTTTCAATTTAATCCTCCGAGTATAGTGATATTGTCACATTTAATGAGAAACACTAATTTTTTCTGTTTGGCTCAACGTTAAGAAATTGTTTTTTTTTCTGTTTGATTCATTGTCCAAAAAATAAACATATTATTTGTTATAATAATAATAATAATAATAATAATAATAATAATAATAATAATAATAATAATAACAATAATATTATGTGGTGGTGGTGGCAGTGGTGGTGGTGTCGTGGTGGTGGTGGTGGTGATGATGTTGATGTTGGTGTTGGTGTTGGTATTGGTGCTAGTAGTGGTGGTACGTAGTTATGGTGGTGTTGGTGGTTGTGGTGGTGGTGTAGCGGTGTTGGTGGCGATGGTAATAATAATAATTTGGAAACTAACTTAAAACAAGAAGAGAGTGAAGAGAGAAATGAAAATAAAGAATCCAGAAAATGTGTTCAGACTAAAAAATTAGGAAGACATTTTCCGTCAAATTGCGCATTTTTTTCATTGACCATAATGAATATTTTCCTTTGACTTCATTATTTTCCTTGAGTGCCCAAACACTGATGACGGTAATAATGTTACCGGAAATATATTGTAAAGTGACGAATAAGAAAGTGACAATAGTTGTATTGCCTTTTGTCTCAGTATAGAAAGTACAGTGTCCTCTGCTCAGCTGAGAGAAGTTCTATTTATGCTAGGTCCTAACGGTAACAACATGAAGAGACATCTTTGGGGAGCTGAGCTAACGGCAAGAATATCAAGAGTCATGGATGAGGCGTTGAGGCTTTAACTCTCTCTCATCAATGGTGGCATCAAAGGTGGCTTCAATGACAATAAATGTGACACCTGTTGGATTCTAACCGTTGGAGTTCTGCCCGTTGGGTTCCCATGTGATGCTGAGTCAGATGCTCATTTGTGATCCGGGTCGGGTGCCAGCCCTATTATCCTGTCACCAGTCCCCCCTACTCCTGAGTCAACGGATGTGTTTGAGTTGACTTGGGAGTAAGGCTGAATCTATCTTGATCGTGTGTAGAATCTTGTTTGATTTAGGATATGTGATTTTATTTGATCCTCTGTATGTGATTTTATATTTTTTTTCTTTTTTTTTTAATCACATATGATTTTATTTTATTTCTTATGCTAGCCGAGATAGGCTTTGGCCTAGGTTGGCAGAGGTGCGTGGCTCCGGCCGAGGCGTCGCCTCGACCGATCGTGGCCGAGGCGTCGCCTCGACCGATCGTGGCCGAGGCGTGCGCCTCGGCCGATCGTGGCCGATGCGTGCGCCTCGGCTGACCGTGACCGAGGCGTCGCCTCGGCCGATCGTGGCCGAGGCGTCGCCTCGACCGGTCGTGGCCAAGGTTGCAGTAGGCGCTAGGCGCTAGTCGGGCGGCCGGGCAGCGCCTAGCGCCTAGGCGGTCTAGGCGGCGCCTAGGCGGATTCTAGGCGGCGCTAGGCGGGCACCAAAAAAATTAAAAAAAATAGTGACAGACTTGTAGTTCGACAATTTTAATGAGGTTGTTTTCAACGTTCACTCAAATAACACATCTAAATAAATGAAATAATGATAATTTATAAGTCATAATGTCATAATAATATTAAAATAAATAATTAATGAAAGACGACATCGGTCAAAATCGGTCAAAATCGATCAAAATCGGTCAAAACGGTCAAAATCGGACGAAATCGGTCGACTCGGCCGAGTTGGCCGAGTTGACCGACTCGGCCGAGTTTGACCGCCCAGGCTGACTCAACCGATCGTGGCGGAGGCGTCGCCTCGACCACTCGTTAATTATGCATTTATTTTTCATTTATTTTAATACTTAATAATGTTTGAGTTTTTAATATTTTTTGTTTAGTTTTTGTTAAATTTATCAGCTCACTAATTTCAAGGCTCTATGCCTTAACGAACTATCTTTTATTTCATTAAGTTCTCATTTTCTGCTCGAGTGTTCTTAAATTTTCTTTCAGGACAAGTTCAACTACACTAACATCAATAACCTTGTGGTCCATTGATACTAAGTTGTTCTCTTATGTGAGAAGTTGTGAGTTCGAATTTCACTATTGACTCTTTGTATTTCAGTAGGATGCAATATTGTAGTACTTGACA